AATTAGGTTTTCCTTACTTTTATGGAATGTTCTATAGACTATGGCCATGTGTGACTTTAGTAGACTACCCTTACTTATATTTAATGTTAAATACACTGTGGCCATGTGTGACTCAATTAGGTTTTTCTTACTTATATGGAATGTTGTTTATACTGTGGCCATATGTGACCCTATCTTGGTTTCCTTATTTATAGATAATGTTCAATATACTGTGGCCATGTGTGAGTCTGTTTTGTTTCCCTTACTTATAAAGATATTTCTATATACTGTGGCCATGTCTGACTTTAGTAGACTACCCTTACTTATAATTAATGTTAAAGACACTGTGGCCATGTGTGACTCAATAAGGTTTTTCCTTACTTATATGGAATGTTGTATATACTGTAGCCAATGTCTGACTTTAGTAGACTACCCTTACTTATATTTAATGTTAAATACACTGTGGCCATGTGTGACTCAATTAGATTTTTCATTACTTATATATGGAATGTTCTATATACTATGGCCATGTGTGACTTTAGTAGACTACCCTTACTTATATTTAATGTTAAATACACTGTGGCCATGTGTGACTCAATTAGGTTTTTCTTACTTATATGGAATGTTGTTTATACTGTGACCATGTGTGACCCTATCTTGGTTTCCTTATTTATAGATAATGTTCAATATACTGTGGGGCCCTGGGGTTTTTAGTCTGGTTTTTGTTGCCCTTTTCTTAAAATAGATATTTTTAACTGTGGCCCCAATTTTCTGATTTAGTAGACTTTCCCTTAAAATTATAATTAAAGTTTAAAGACACTGTGGGGGAAAGTGGTTTTTTCAATAATTTTTTTCCCCTTAAAAATGGAAAAGTTTTTGTAAAACTGTACCGGTTGACTTTTGTAGATTACCCTTACCCTTTTATTTTAAAGTTAAAATACCCTGGTTTTAAAAGTTTTGGGTTTCAATTAGAAATTTTTTAAAACTTTTATGGAATTTCTAAAAGACAAAAGGGCCCTTGTGACTTTAAATAAAACAAACCCTTAAATTTATTTTAATGTTAAAAACACTGTGGCCCCAAATTTAAACCAATTAAAAGGTTTTTTTATTTTTTAAAGGGAAAGTTTTATTACTGTGGGGCCCTGTGTGACTCAATTTGGGTTTCCTTATTTATAGATAATGTTTAATATACTGTTGCCATGTGTGAGTCTGTTTTGTTTCCCTAACTTATATAGATATTTCTATATACTGTGGCCATGTCTGACTTTAGTAGACTACCCTTACTTATATTTAATGTTAAATACACTGTGGCCATGTGTGACTCAATAAGGTTTTTTCCTTACTTATATGGAATGTTGTATATACTGTAGCCATGTCTGACTTTAGTAGACTACCCTTACTTATATTTAATGTTAAATACACTGTGGCCATGTGTGACTCAATTAGATTTTCATTACTTATATGGAATGTTCTATATACTATGGCCATGTGTGACTTTAGTAGACTACCCTTACTTATATTTAATTGTTAAATACACTGTGGCCATGTGTGACTCAATTAGGTTTTTTCTTACTTATATGGAATGTTGTTTTATACTGTGACCATGTGTGACCCTATCTTGGTTTCCTTATTTATAGATAATGTTCAATATACTGTGGGCATGTGTGAGTCTGTTTTGTTTCCCTTACTTATATAGATATTTCTATATACTGTGGCCATGTCTGACTTTAGTAGACTACCCTTACTTATAATTAATGTTAAAGACACTGTGGCCATGTTGTGACTCAATAAGGTTTTTCCTTACTTATATGGAATGTTGTATATACTGTAGCCATGTCTGACTTTAGTAGACTACCCTTACTTATATTTAATGTTAAATACACTGTGGCCATGTGTGACTCAATTAGATTTTCATTACTTATATGGAATGTTCTATAGACTATGGCCATGTGTGACTTTAGTAGACTACCCTTACTTGTATTTAATGTTAAATACACTGTGGCCATATGTGACTCAATTAGGTTTTTCTTACTTATATGGAATGTTGTATATACTGTGGCCATGTGTGACTCAATTTGGGTTTCCTTATTTATAGATAATGTTTAATATACTGTTGCCATGTGTGAGTCTGTTTTGTTTCCCTAACTTATATAGATATTTCTATATACTGTGGCCATGTCTGACTTTAGTAGACTACCCTTACTTATATTTTAATGTTAAATACACTGTGGCCATGTGTGACTCAATAAAGGTTTTTCCTTACTTATATGGAATGTTCTATATACTGTGGCCATGTCTGACTTTAGTAGACTACCCTTACTTATATTTAATGTTAAATACACTGTGGCCATGTGTGACTCAATTAGGTTTTTCTTACTTTTATGGAATGTTCTATAGACTATGGCCATGTGTGACTTTAGTAGACTACCCTTACTTATATTTAACATTAAATACACTGTGGCCATGTGTGACTCAATTAGGTTTTTCTTACTTTTATGGAATGTTCTATAGACTATGGCCATGTGTGACTTTATTAGACTACCCTTACTTATATTTAATGTTAAATACACTGTGGTCATGTGTGACTCAATTAGGTTTTCCTTGCTTATATGGAATGTTCTATATACTGTGGCCATGTGTGACTCAATTTATAGGTATTCCCTTATTTATAGATAATGTTCAATATACTGTGGCCATGTGTGAGTCACTTATGTTTCCCTTACTTATATAGATATTCTATATACTGTGGCCATGTCTGACTTTAGTAGACTACCCTTACTTATATTTAATGTTAAATACACTGTGGCCATGTGTGACTCAATTAGGTTTTCCTTACTTATATGGAATGTTCTATATACTGTGGTTATGTCTGACTTTAGAAGACTACCCTTACTTATATCTCATGTTAAATACACTGTGGTCATTTGTTAAAAACTCAAAAAAATTAGGTTTTCCTTACTTAAAAGGATTGTTGTATATACTGTGGCCATGTGTGACTCAATTTGGGTTTCTTTATTTATATATAATGTTCAATATACTTTGATCATGTGTGAGTCAGTTATGTTTCCCTTACTTTATATATAAAAATTCTATATCCTGTGGCCATGTCTGACTTAATGTTGTTTATTTTTTCTGGTCCTTCGGGATCAATTGATGCACCACACTATTGAGTGTTGAGAAATTGAATTAGCCGCTCAATGCCGGTGCTAAGGGCGTGGAGGGATGTTGCACGTTTTCATTATCCCTCATGTACAGACTCAATCAAAAACCGAGTCTGCAATTCTCGTGTAATTTTTTGTTGTGATTAATGCTTCCGAGGGATCACTTTGTTTCCAGATTTTTAAGTAGAATACCCTTACTTATATTTTTAATGTTAAATACACTGTGGCCATGTTGTTGACTCAATTTGGTTTCCTTATCTACATATAAATGTTCAATATACTGTAGGCCATGTGTGAGTCAGTTTATGTTTCCCTTACTAATATATAAATTTCTATATCCTGTGGCCATGTCTGACTTAAGGCAGAATACCCTTACTTATATTTAATGTTAAATACACTGTGGCCATGTGTGACTCAATTTGGGTTTCCTTATCTACATATAATGTTCAATATACTGTGGCCATGTGTGAGTCAGTTATGTTTCCCTTACTAATATATAAATTTCTATATCCTGTGGCCATGTCTGACTTAAGCAGAATACCTTCACTTATATTTAATGTTAAATACACTGTGGCCATGTGTGACTAAATTAGGTTTTCCTTGCTTATATGGAACGTTCTATATACTGTGGCCATGTGTGACTCAATTAAGGTTCTTTATTTATAGATAATGTTCAATATACTGTGGCCATGTGTGAGTCAGTTATGCTTCCCTTACTTATATAGATATTTCTATATACTGTGGCCATGTCTGACTTTAGTAGACTACCTTTACTAATATTTAATGTTAAATACACTGTGGCCATGTGTGACTGGATAAGGTTTTCCTTACTTATAGGGAATGTTATATATACTGTGGCCGTGTGTGACTCAATTTGGGTTTCCTTATTTATATATAATGTTCAATACACTGTGGCCATGTGTGACTCAATTAGGTTTTCCTTACTTATATGGAATGTTCTATATTACTGTGGCCATGTGTGACTCAATTTGGGTTTCCTTATATATATAATGTTAAATACACTGTGGCCATGTGTGACTCAATTAGATTTTCCCTACTTGTATGGAATGTTCTATATACTGTGGCCATGTCTGACTTTAGTAGACTACCCTTACTTATTTTTAATGTTAAATACACTGTGGCCAGGTCCGACTATAATATGTTTCTCTTATTTATGTCGAATGTTCTATACACTGTGGCCATGTCCGACTCAAATATGTTTCACTTATTTATGTCGAATGTTCTATATACTGTGGCCATGTGTGACTTTATTAGGGTACCTTACTTATTTATAAGGTTCCATATACTATGTCTATATGTGACTTTAATAGATACCCTTACTTAAATAGAATGTTCTTTATACTGTGGCCATGTGTGACTTTATTAGGCTGCAATTACTTCTATATGATGTTCCGTATACTGTTGCCATATGTGACTCAAATATGTCTCTACGTATAGAGATCGTTCTTAATACTGCAGTCATATGTCACTTTAATAGGCTACCCTTATTCATAATTTATTGTTACATATACTGTGGATGTGTCCATTTGTGACTAATAGGTTACCAAGATATATTTTTAAATTTCATTTACTGTTTCCATGTGTGACTTTAGCAGGCTACCCTTACTTTATTTACTGTGCCCATTATGAATGTAACAGTATAGTTTGGTCATGAATTAACTAAACAAAATACTAATTTTGTTTATAAAATGCCATTCGGCCTGGCAAATTTATTTAAATAAAGTTTTTAAGACCCCGATTATGTTTACAGGGAAGGAAATTGTTTGGGTAATTTAGTGGTCATTAGCCTCGACTATGGATTTATGGATTTAAAGTCACCTATGGAAATTAGTCGCTCCCATAGTATTAGTTCTAATTTTCTTGCGGGCTTTTTAATTTCCTAATGCAATGAGATTCAGGGGAAAATTAGTTGATATTGGATGTATACAACATTTCACTCGTAAGTTTCAATTAAAAAACCAAAAGATATGTTTTATAAGTGCATACAGGCGACTAATTCAAGCAGTTTGCTTTGAAACTTGTGTTGATATAGGTTTTCGCGATACACACTATTCATGAGCCATTTCGGCCCCGGACATACTGGCCTTTGGCAAATCGATCCCATTATTAGTTCAGAATAAGTTTTTATACGTTTTATTACAGAATTTTATCGCATTTCAGTATATTGATGAATAAATGAATGAAAGAGCCAATTGATTGATTAATTTAATCTTATTACGAATACGATTGTGTAATGGAAATTTATGAGGCAAAATTAGTAAAGTAAAAAGAACATAACAAAACTTAAACTTTATTTTAACAAAACGAAGTACACAAACAGACATTTATTATCAACAACTATTTAAAAAAATCTAATTTGAATGATAAAAAAGCAATACACAAAACAATAAATGAAAAACTTTATCAACAACTTTTTAGGAAGTGGCTCGTACGGCTAGCCAAAAGGTCTAGCCGTACGTGAGTCACGTACGACTAGCCAGGAGGCACTGTATTGTCTAGACGTACGGCACTTTTTAAAATTATATGCATATATGTTATTTTGTGTCTTTAAAGGAGGATTTTAATCAAGTCCCTACATTTGTCCTCGTGTGTTCACTTTAATAAAGATGCTCTGTCATTATGTAAAAAAATGAATACAAACAAGCGTTGTATAATCTATCTTGATAAAAGTGTCAAAGTTGCATGTTATAAGTTATGCCGTCGTTGATTTTCATGCTTATCATTTGTTGTTTTATTTGTATGAAAGATGAAGTATTAAATCATTTTTGTTAATTAAGCACATGGATCGAATAAATATTGATCGGAGTGGAATAAATAAATAAATAAAAAGAACATTGAAAAAAGAAAACGATGATAAGCAAAAATATTTCTATAATTATTTTCAAATACAGAAGATAAACGGAACGGAATATGCAAACTTTCCTAAATGATGGACAAACTTCTATACCGTCGGCAATTGACGCAATTATCAGAGCCCAACAACAATTTATTTCGGTGTTTTTTTTCCATTTTAAAGGTGTCGAAAATTATACTAAATGAAACAAAAAAGGATTATTATCAAAACTTTGTAAACTATTTCAATTGTCTTAATGCAACCATGACAAAGATCGATAGCCAACAATGCGATTAATTTCTCAAGAGTAAACATACGAAGACAATTGCTGTTTCTTGGTTAAAATCCTCGCTTAAAGTCATAAAATAACATATACATTTTCGACTTCTATATAATTTTGAAAAGTGCCGTACGGCTAGCCAATACAGTGCGTCCTGGCTAGTCGTACGTGACTCATGTACGGCTAGAACTTTTGGCTAGCCGTACGGGCCCGTACGGCTAGCCACTTCCAACTTTTTAACAGTATCCCCAAACAACCATTTTTGATCATAACCTAAATACGAACACATTTAAACTCTGTAGCACTGTTGTCATGTCATGTATTTACATGTTGTATTGACTTTGATGGCTCCTGAAATGTTCTATTACAAGTTACTCATTGATTATTTATTTAGCAATAAGTTATTAAATCAAAGTATGATCTTTTCCTTAAGAAGATGGACAGAGATGATAAATAATTGCTTTTTTACAGACAAATGCATTGAAAATAAACTAATATTGATTTAAAGTTAGTTATTATTTCAACCATTGAATAATTAGCAGAGTAAAATTCTAATTATTCATCATATCTCAGCATTGGATCAAATAGAATACCCCTTATAACATGAATTTCAATAACTGTTTAAGAAGAAAAAAACAATCACCTTTCTTGAGCCGATACCATTTAAAGTATTTGAGTTTAGCCAGATTCTGTAGAATTCATTCAAATTATCATTTTCTTCAAAATCATAAATCCTTAAGCTTTGTACCCTCAGTCAAATAAAAAAAAAAAAATAATAATAATCTCTCTAGTATTAAAAAGTAATTAATAAATTCTAAATATGACCCCTATTGGTATTGAGGTCAGTAGGTCAAGGTCATTCTGTTCTCAGGTGAGCACTTTGGGGCCAATAGCCCCTTGTTCACACTTAACCCCTGACCTTGCTTTTCATTATAATGTAAAAACAAAGAACACAGAGCGGCATAATAAATCCGAGTAGTAAATACTAAATAAACTTCTTATGTTTTTCAGGTGTTGTAACAACTGTTTCAAAGTTGATTAAAACATGTGTTTTGAGAGTGACCACATCAGCATTGTACTTCATCTTGTCTGAGAAGGTTGTGAATGGAGGTATACAGATCTGGTGTGAACTTCCTCAGGTAGTTTTAATGTTGATACTTAACTTAAAAACAAGACAAGAATGGAATCACATGACAAATTAGATCTTTTTTTTCTAGCCGCCTTACTGAGAGCTTGACATAGTTGTCACAATTGCAGTTTGGTGTATGTATATTCATATGTGTGTCCGGTTTATGCCTTTCCGGATCGTAACTTTGTCATTAGTTGACAGAATTTCATATGCACAAATGTTCATGATAATGAGACTGTGTGTCATGCTCAAGAACTGTGTTTCTAGGTCAACTGTCAAGGTTTTACTTTAAGGTCAAATGCAAAAAATGGTCTCAAACAGCTTGTCCGCGTAATCTATCAGTATTAATAATGTATTAATTGTCTAGTTCTATATATATAAATGTACTAATGTGTTGTGAAACTTAATCTTTTGATGATATTGTATTTCAAAAATGCCCAAACTACAATATGTGGGGTAGTAGCTTTAAAGATTCTTTTTCTTGATGAATTATTTGTTTTGTATACATTATTTTAGGGTCACTTTTTTGATGAATATGCAATGGAAGGTGTTTCAGCGGAGGCCAATGAAATTTATCTAGAGATGTCCCCAGAAAACTTGGTTAAAGCCCTGAAGACAGCACAGATGGCCAAGTGGGTAAAGGTGAAGCTGACAAAAAAGCATGCACCTTGTCTTACGGTGGAGGTAGATCTGGTAAGTTTGATAACAAGAAGTGCAGTGTCCAGGAACATTAACTCTAGTTTGCTTTAATGCTTAATGTTTTAATTATCTCTCTTTACAGTGCTAAAAAATCCCTAATAATGCATGTCCTGGGTATAACTCTTACAATATCCATGATATTAAAACTTTACACAGTTATAGTAAGTGCATTGTTCAAGAACAGTAACTCTACATTACTTAATTTTTAATCTTTTATTATACTTGAACGTAAACAAAAACATGGATTATACTAAGACTGATGCCTTATGTCTTGAAAAAAACTTGCTTTGAATTTAATAACAAATTTTATTAACAGATATGGGAGCAATCATGGGAACCAAATGTGCACCCCAGTTATGCCATTAACTTTATACCATACTTTGAAAATATGAGCCGTGTAAGGACAAAACCAACATAATGGGTTTGTGACCAGCATGGATCCAGATCAGCCTGTGCATTCGTGCAGTCTGATCAGGATCCATGCTGTTCGCTATCAGTTTCTCTACTTGTAATATAGTTGGAAAGCAAACAGCATGGATCCTGATCAGACTGCGCGGATGCGCAGGCTGATCTGGATCCATGCTGGTCGCAAACCCATTATGTTGGTTTTGTCGTGACACGGCTCATATGTTTCTTGCGATGCAAAGATTCAAGCCACTAGTGTTATGGGGGTATATGGATGTCACCTTTATTGTGTAGAGAAATTGTATGATCTACTTAATGAATTGGACAAGTCAATTAAAATCACTTACCAATTAAACAACTGACCGAAATTTTTTTAGACACACAAATGAGAATGCAGATGGAAATATAAACACAAGCTTAAAACATTATTTACAAAAATAATACATGTAGACTCGCATATGTACCTCCACTACACATTATACCACTCTCAACACCAAAATAAAAAGTAATCTTTATAGTCTGGCAGTCAGATTAAGATATGTACATGTAGCAATGATGACCTAAACAACAATTACTGACAATCCTACATGCAAGAGGTTACCCGTCATAACTTATAAAACAAGCTATTTTAAAAGCAAGAAAACATAACCGTTAGAATTACTAAGCAATGAACATAGGTCTGTAAACAACAAACAAATTATACCTAGCTTATTTATTACAATCCTTCCTGCGTATTGTACCATTAATACCCATCTACAAATACTTATGAACAGAAAGGGCAACTCTAGCTTACTTTTATTTTGAATTCTTTCCATTTGTAATACTAGTAATTAATATTTGAGTACAATTCCGTAACTGTTAGTGGTGTTTGAGTCGCACCAAATGAATATCATACGGTGAGAGAAGCTAGAGAGGAAGTGTAGTGTAAGAATTGTCACTCTAATAACATTGTGTTTTTTTCCAATTATCTCCCTTTACTGAGAAGAAGTACTGGGCAATCTTTTACAGCTGTAATACCAGGATGTCAATCTTGTACAGCTGTCATACAAGAAATTCACCCCTGTTATTGTGATTTTAAAAATTCTGGAAAACATTGAAAGGTTAAACAAGAATTTGCCAGGTATTTAGCAATAATAGGGAAAGTTACTTACAAATGTGATTTTTATTTACAATTGACCTGAAAATATGCTTCATAATTAACCTTAACAAAATTGAGCCACGTCATGACAAAACCAATGTAATGTGTCTGATCAGGATCCATGCTCTTCACTTACAAACCCTATAACAAGAAGAGAAACTGATAGCGAACAGCATGGATTCTGATTGCAAACCCATTATGTTGGTTTTGTCATGACGCGGCTCAATTATTAAGTATTACATGTAATTTTGAAGTATTGTTTACTTGCCATTGAGAGGCCATTGATAGTACATGTTATTCACTTTCCTGGACAAACAAATGCATTGCAGCATGTTCTTTGGTTTTGCCAATTTCTTGCTGAGGATAGGAAATGCCCTATCACTTATACTTGTCATCTTGACCAGGGACTGCACTTAGGGCGAGTTTGGGCCAAAATTTGTTGAAATTATTTTCACTTCACCAAATCTCCTTTTGTACCTGTGTCAGACCTGTGGCAGTTCTAGTTTATAAAGTGTTTCTTTGAAAAAAGAATTTCTCTGCAAATTTCTCCCAAGATGAACAAACATGAACTTCTTTGACCATTGTCTGTTAATTCATTTTTCCTGTTTATGCAACATGTTTGTTATAGGTAATAAGAGTTGAAAATATTTATTATCAAATTTTATTAGCTGGATTTTAAAGTTGTAATTGGAAATTAGTGGTTTTACTTAAGTTATTCTATACAGGATGGTTAATGCATTTACACTAAATTTCAAATCTGTTAATAATGATAATCTAACTTGTCAAGAATTATGAAAACTGTTGAATAGTGAATTACCTTAGGAAGGTTTTCTATACTTGATAATGAATAATGCGTAGGCTATGAACGTTAATGAGCAATACATGCTTATAATGAATGATACATAGAAAAATCAGTAAAAAAATGAAAACAATTTATGATATCATTAGATATTTTATATTTTTTCCAAGTTCAAGATAATATTCCCAACAGCAACCAATCCCCTCCCCCCTTCCCCCACAAAAAAAAACCAACAAAGAAAAACCGCACAAAAAAACACAACAAAAAACAAAAAACTAAGCAGATAATTTTCTGGGAAATACTTAACTGTGTTGACTTATTTTTGAAAAAAAAGAGACCGACTATTATTATGATTATATACATAAATAAATCAAAAAGTCATGTATATGTTGTTGGTTTTTTTTTTTCAACTTTTAAAAAATTTCTGTTTTCTTGAATTGCCCTGTACTTTTATCACAATTGAAGAATTAAGGCACCTTTCTCACAGAATAGCTAAAAAAGACCACAGGATTCAACACATAATATTGAATACTTGCTGTAAAGTCATGACAAGGTGCAGTTATAAAATTCTGACAGCTATATTGTTTGAGCTATCTGTATGTCCTTACATTGGTATATAACAATATTGTCAATGTAAAACAGAATGATTTTAAAAGTATGAACATGGAAATAAGACTACTTGCTTTTTACAAAGCAATGTGTAAAACAATGGGAATAATTCTAAAAGCAACATTTTAGGAGTTATGCCCATTTTCAACGTAGAATATTTTGAAAAATTCGTTTATTATTGATATAAAATTTTGAAAACTATCAATTTTGTACTTATTCTTGGCATACTTGTTTATCTACACATAGGTGAGTGATCAGTATTTCTTGAGTTATGCCCCTTTAAACACATGGAAAACAATTAAACCTTTGTATAAATACCAGTATCTTGAATGTTCACAAAGTCATTTTATTGAAAAGTGAAGGGCATGAATTTAGATAGTTAATTGATCAGGGATTTACTGGATGCAAGATGCGTCATATACACAAAATGCCATCCTGTACGCACAAAAAATAAATTCTGCGTACACATGGACGCAGAAAAATTGTCTAAAGTAACTGTCATTTCCACATTTTAAAATAAATTCTTAGTACCGTAGTCACACAAAAATTGTTTAGAGTAACTCTTGTTACAGTATTTTTACAATATCTAAAATGTTTTGGTTAGCGTTGAAGGTCCTTGGAATCACAAATGGGTATTTATAGTAACACATCATTTTATTGGCTAGTTACTGCCCGCATTTAAAATACTGACCAATTATTAGTTTTTAGCTCACCTGTCACAAAGTGACAGGGTGAGCTTTTGTGATCGCTTTTCGTCCGTCGTCCGTCCGTAAACTTTTGCTTTAAATGACATCTCCTCATAAACCACTGAGCCAATTTCATCCAAACTTCACAGGAATGTTCCTTTAGTGGTCACCTTTAAAAATTGTTCAAAGAATTTAATTCCATGCAGAACTCTGGTTGCCATGGCAACCAAAAGAAAAAACTTTAAATATCTTCTTTTAAAAAACCATAAGAGCTAGAGCTTAGATATTTGGCATGAAACATCTTCTAGTGAGTGTCTACCAAGTTTATTCAAATAAAAGCCTTGGGGTCAAAATTGGCCCCGCCCCAGGGGGGCATTGATTTTCCCTATATGCATATAGTAAAAACTTAAAAAATCTTCTTTTAAAGAACCCAAGGAGCTAGAGCTAAGATATTGGGCATGAAACATCTTCTAGTGAGTGTCTACCAAGTTTGTTCAAATAAAAGCCCTTGGGTCAAAATTGGCCCCGCCCCTGGGGGTCATTGATTTTCCCTATATGCATATAGTAAAAACTTAAAAAAATCTTCTTTTAAAGAACTGTAAGAGCTAGAGCTTAGATATTTGGCATGAAACATCTTCTAGTGAATGTCTACCAAGTTTGTTCAAATAAAAGCCCTGGGGTCAAAATTGGCCCCGCCCCAGGGGGTCATTAATTTTACCTATATGCATATAGTAAAAACTTAAAAAATCTTCTTTTAAAGAACCCAAAGAGCTAGAGCTAAGATATTAAGCATGAAACATCTTCTAGTGAATGTCTACCAAGTTTGTTCAAATTAAAGCCTTGGGGTCAAAATTAGCCCCGCCCCGGGGGTCATTGATTTTCCCTATATGCATATAGTAAAAACTTAAAAAATCTTCTTTTAAAGAACCTTAAGAGCTAGAGCTTAGATATTTGGCATGAAACATCTTCTAGTGAATGTCTACCAAGTTTGTTCAAATAAAAGCCCTGGGGTCAAAATTGACCACGCCCCAGGGGGTCATAGATTTTCCCTATATGCATATAGTAAAAACTTAAAAAATCTTCTTTTAAAGAACGCAAAGAGCTAGAGCTAAGATATTTAGCATGAAACATCTTCTAATGAGTGTCTACCAAGTTTGTTCAAATAAAAGCCCTGAGGCAAAAATTGGCCCCGCCCCAGGGGGGCATTGATTTTCCCTATATGCATATAGTAAAAACTTAAAAATCTTCTTTTAAAGAACTCAAAGAGCTAGAGCTAAGATATTTAGTATGAAACATGTTCTAATGGGTGTCTACCAAGTATGTTCAAATAAAAGCCCTGGGGTCAAAACTGGCCCCGCCCGGGGGGGGGGGGGGTCATTGATTTTCCTTATATGTGTATAGCAAAAACTTAAAAATCTTCTTTGGAAAAACCCAAATAGCTAGAGTTTAGATATTAAGCACGAAACATCTTTAAGTAAATATCTACAAAGTTTGTTAAAATAAACGCCCGGGGGTCAAAACTGGCCCTGCCCCAGGGGTGTCATTGTTTTTAACTATATGTGTATAGTAAAAACTTTAAAAATCTTCTTTTAAAAAAGCAAATGAGCTAGAACTTAGATATTTAGCATGAAACATCTTCTTATGGGTGTCTACCAAGTCTGTTCAAATAAACAAATAAAAGCCCTTGGGTAAAAATTGGCCCGGGGGTGGGGGGGGGGCCTATATACAGGTGAGCGACCTCAGTGCCATCATGGCCCTCTTGTATTTGGAGCGCTCGGTTGTTACCGTCATCTATGAAAGTATTTTGCTTTAAACAATGGCAAAACAGGCCGACTTATTAGGGTTTTGGGGTGGGAGTTGTTCGAAACGAAAACGAGATGACAGTTACCAGTAGCCTATCTTGTCAAGTACTGTAACTGAAGCAAGTACATCATTCCAGCAGGCCACAATACCAAAACGTGACAGAACATTCCTGTCTGTCTGGTTAGATAGATACAAATGGTTAGAGTTACTGGACAAACAAATGTTTTGTAACCCTTCCGTTATGGCCAAAAGTTCAACAAACCTGTTATAGCTTCATGGTGCAAACAAACTTTTACTGTTACAGCTTCATAGTGCACTACCGATCACAATAGATTAGATAAGACAACCAGTTGCGCTTATTTTCAAAGCTGTTACTGTAAAAGTTTCTTTGTACTCCTCGGATTAGCTTGGAAAAACTTAAAAATATCTTAATTCCATAGTAAGTCTATTAAACACTATTATAGGTTGTTTTATTTGTATAATGTTGTATATTTCAGCCTGTTTTATTAAGCCCCCGCCATATAATGGCCGGGGCATATAGTGTTACCCTGTTCCGTCATTCCGTCATTCTGTCATTCCTTCATCATCAGTTTCCGTTCATTATCTTAAGAACGGTTGCACATATTCAACTCAAATTTGACATATGGATATGTCATGAGAAAATACAGGTCAAGTTCCAATTTGGTCATGGTTCGATGATTTTTGGCAGAGTTATGCCCCTTTTACTTTGAAAATAATATGAAATTTTCAGTTTCTGTTCATTATCTACCCAACAGTGTTATATATTTAACTCAAATTTGACATATGGATATGTCAAAGGAATGGGCAGGTCAAGTTGGAATTTGGTCATGGTTTGATGATTTTTTTGGCAGAGTTATGTCCCTTTCATTTTGAAAATAATGTAGATACATCTTAGGAATAAGCAGTTTAAGATTGAATTTGGTCGTGGTTCAATGATTTTGGACAAACTTATCTTTCCTGAATGTTGGAAAAATTTTGAACTTTCAGTTTCAGCACTCATACTTTTAGCCATTATTTTGGCTACAAATATGCAATATGCAATATGCTATTTTTAAAAGGTTAAGACTGAATAATTTCAGTGCCTTGAACATTGTATGGAAATGGTTTGTGTTAACATTGAAAAGTTTTAAGGGCTTTGAACTTAAAATGAAAAAAATAATTAATGCACCATCTGAAATTTTGGCTGTATGTGGGGGCATCCGTGGCATGATGACACATTTCTAGTTTGTATAATGTTGTATATTTCAGCCTACGCTAGGTTCCCATTCTAGAGTTGTTGTACATGATATACCAGTGACTGTAGTACCACGTCGATTATGGCAGGAATATCAGGAGCCCGAAGTTCCCCAGTTTGATGTAAGTTATTCAGTCTCCTTGTGATTAGTTCTTTTTGGTAGTTATGAGGAAAGTTCTTTATTGTAGTTATGAGCGCTTTTTGAGTGGTTGTTATAAGGAAAATTCTTTATTGTAGTTATAAAAAATGTTTATGTTGTAGTTATGAGGAAATTTCTTGGTGTAGTTATGAAGAAAATTCTTTCTTGTATTTATGAGGGAAATTCTTGGTGTTGTTATGAGGAAAGTTCTTTGTTTAGTTATGAAAATTCTTTCATTATGGTTGTGAGGAAAGTTTGTGTAGCTATGATAGAAATGCTTAGTTGTATTCATGAGAGAAGTTTCTTGGTGTAGTTATCAGATGTAGTTATGAGGGAAGTGTGTTTGTGTTTTTATGAACTAAGATTTTTTTGTGTGTGAGTAGTTATGAGTGAAGTGCTTTGGAATAGTAATGATGTAAGATCTTTGATGTAGTTGTGAGGTAATATCATTGTAGTTATGAGGGAAGTGCATTGGTGTAATTATGAGGTAAGATCATTAGTGTAGTTATGATTAGACAATTCTGAACTTCTTAATTGTGGAAACTTCCAAAATCTGAACCTTAGGCTAGACCCACAGGTTTTCAGATGTGATACTGTACATCTAAATTTAGTGTTCTTGATATTAAAAAGCAGTTGTTTTGTTTAGTGTTTTTAAACTGAAATAAACATCTCTCCATTTCTATTCAATTTCTCGCTTATGGCTGACGGGTTGCCTTTAAGGATTGAGGCATCAAAATGGCAGCCACCATTTAAATGGGTTTGATTTATGGAGTCTTGCATCTCTTAGCTCAATCAGGTGAGATGGTTGTGTAGTTGCTTAAAGTTTGTAACACTTGAGGTTAACAAAAATCATCTTTCCTGTTTCAGCACCAAATGACCTAAGTTGAGTTGGTGCGCTATAAAACCAAACAAACAAGTCCTTTTTATTGTGTAAGTTAGAAGTAGCTATGAAAAAGTGGGATCAAAAGGTGTGATTTATTCCAATCCTTTGTTAGAATTTTCTCACTTACTTGGGTAAGAAAGTGGCGATCATGTTAATCACTCCTTAACAATAATTAATAAGCTATGACTGCCTCGGTGGTTGAGGAGTAATGAGTCGATGACTTCTAATCCAGTTACTCTCTGGCGTGGGTTTGATCCCCGGGAGATGCTTTGGTAGTTTAGCAGGGAGTAAAATAGTCTAGTACTGGTGTAACTCTTAAGGAATGATGGTTAAGAAACTACCTGCCTATATGACTGAAATACTGTTGGGAAAAGGCGTAAAATGAAACAAACAAACAAACAATGACTATTCACCATAGTGAAACAAAAAGTCAACAAACCCAAATAAATGTAAATAAAAAGTTCACAAGAAATATATTATTATATAGAACCAGTGACATTGAGGAAAGAAGTAATTTTCATGAGGACTGGTTTATTGATGTCCCTTTTTGTATTGTGTTTTAATCATTATCTTCATTATTCATAACATTTTATACATTCTGTGCATTATGTTGTAATTATGCATTTAATGACTGAGTTAGATTCATAAAGAGGTTGAAGTTTGTTAGAAATTTCGATAATGGCTATGAACAAAATTTCTTTTCGATACTTGACAATGTTATGATAATGTTTTGATTTATTCCAGGTAAGTATTATAATGCCACAGATGAAGGTATTGCGGAATATTGTAGACAAGATGAAGAATCTCAGCAATAATTTGGTATGTCTGTTAAATGTGTATGTCTTTAAACTTGGTATTTCTATCAACTTTGGCAAGTCTATAGTAATGGTATGATACCAAGTTGAGAGTAAAAAAAGTATGTCTCACACCATTAACACATAGAAAGCCATGGTTTGGACTGATAAAAGACAAAAGGATAAATAGCTTGAAATAATTTACTAAGCCAAAAAAAAGTACATTTTTGTGACTTTTTATGTCAATTCCCTCATTTCATTGAATAAAATTCTCATTGTCAATCTAAGTTCTTATTAAGTAAAGCTTTGACACAGCAATAAGTTCTTTTACATGATCTGTAAGATGTAAAACTTGATTTTACCAAAAGATAAAAGAAAGATGTAAAAATTAAAGATAAAAGACTGATGTAAAAATCAAAGATAAAAGAAAGATGTAAAAAATCAAACAAAAATCAAAAATCAATCCCTACATGTTTCAACAACTCCTTTATTAGCTCACCAGAGCCGAATGTCTATTGCTACAGAACTAATGGATGGATGATCACCAAACTTTGTCTGTAGCATTCTTGGGTACTCTTTTATCAAGTTTGCTTATATTAATTTGATTAGCCCCTTTTAGGGACCACTAAAGCTAAAAATAGAAAAAACCTTCAAACATCATTTCCTACTGAAATAATTGATAGATGATCACCAAACTTTGTAGCATTCTTAGGTAGTCTTTTATCAAGTTTGCTCATATTAATTTGATTACTCCCATTTAAGCTAAAGCTTAAATGCCCCAGGTCATGGCATTTCTTCAAATTACTGTTTAAACATATTCTATGCTCAAATTTAATATTAGAATATATTGACAGTTGTTTCTTGTGAGCAACTCAGGGCCATCATGGCCCTCTTGTTACATGTTTATTGTAATATTTATACTTTTGTGGATGCATTGACTTGTTGTCTTTTGTTGCTTTTTGTGTCGCCTTGAAAAGGCGACATACAGGGGTTACTTTTGTTGGCGTAGGCGTCATTGTCAGCGTCCCCTAAAGCTTGTCCGGAGCATAACTCAGTCACTATAAGTAGATTGACTTCAAACTTGGTATGCATGCTTCTTTAAATAACCAGAAATGCAGTGCACAAGGACCAGTACTCGGCACTTCTTAATTTTTGAGTAATTGCCCTTTGTTAATTTTCATACTTTAATTTTGTCAGGGCCATTTCTCTTCAACTAAAAAAGCTATGGACTTGAAACTTCATAGGATGATAGATCTCATTAAGTTTAGAATGATAGATCTGTTCTATTAAGTTTAGAATGATAGATCTGTTCTGTTATAATATGAAGTTGATCCCTTCAATAATAGCAAAGTTACAGTCAGTTACCGCCAAAACAATGAAAATTTCAATAATTTGACCTTCAAAGACAATGTCATTAATGAGTGAAGGTCAAGGTCTTTCGGTATATTTTTAACAGTTATCTTTGAAGATTATTATGTTCAAGTTTCAAGACAATCCATTCAAAAATAACAAAGTTACAGCCAATAAAAGCCAAAAAAATGAGTATTTAAAAAATTTGACCTTCAAAGTCAAGGTCATTTATGAATGAAGGTCAAGGTCTGTCTAGATATTTTTTAAGGGATATCCCTGAAGATAATTATGTTCAAGTTTGAAGACAATCCATTCAAAAATAACAAAGTGATTGCCAATAATAGCCAAAAAAATGAAAATTTCAATAATTTGACCTTCAAAGTCAAGGTCATTTATGAGTGAAGGTCAAGGTCTGGCTGGTTATTTTTCAGGGATATCCTTGAAGATTATTATGTTCAAGTTTGAAGACAATCCATTCAAAAATAACAAAGTTACAGCCAATAACAGCATGAACAAGCAAAAATTGGACTTTTAACCTTATTTCAATACACCAAGAAATAAAAAAGTAATGATCTAGGTACAAGTTTGCGGACCTTGTAAACTTTGTTTAGAAAAAGTAAAAAGTCGAGCGTTGCCCCCGCCCGGCGGTGGCTCTTGTTGAGTTATTGCCCTTTGTTAATTTTCATACTTTAATTTTGTCCGGGCCATTTCTTTTCAACTATAAAAGCTATGGACTTGATTATCTTCATAGGTTGATAGATTTTTTTAGTTATTGCCCTTTAGCAGTGTTTATAAATAACCTACATTTAAGAAGAAAATGCTTAAGTGACAACTATACTGTTTACAAGGCGACACATCCGACTCGTGAAGTTCTAGTTTCTCATTGTTTTGTATTACAATACATATGAAAATACTGTACAATGCTGTATTATAAGTCTGCTTTAGAGGTTTTGTGTTTATCTAACAAATTTGTTTGTTTTTGTTTTAGTTATTATCTGCCAACAGACAAGGGGAATTAAAGGTTTCTGTGGAAACAGACATGGTGTCAGTCAGTACACATTTTCAGGACCTCATCAACCCTACTTCAAGTAAGATACAAATTTACAGTAATATTGTGGGCAACTCCTTTAACACTATTTGTGATATGTTTTATTTGTATATGTAATATGGTGATGAGCTTTTTATGCTTAAACCAAGAAATAAAGTTTCTGTTCTGTTCTGTTCTGATAATGACTGCCTATGCTACAAATATATAGAGAATTTTGCATTATTGGGCTATTCTGATGTGTTGTATCACTTTTAGTTGATTGTGTAAAGTTGTTTCTTTAGGAACCCGCTATTTAGTCCATTTGAATAACACATTCATTTTTATATCTTCAATCAAATGCTTACAGTAATTTGATATACATGTACATGTAACTTCAGTAAAATGCATAACCTATTTTGAACAAAATATGTTACGCATTTTTATGAAGGTACAAATTGAATTACTTTTTTGCCTTTAATAGACTATGTACCTATATTGTAGTTTATGTTGTATTGTTATGACGCATGTTTAAATGTCAGCACCTTACAAAGATATGAGGGGGCAAATGGCTGTCACTGAAAAAAGAGGGAAAACATACAGAGGGGCAACTGTTGGTGGGGCAAATGTCCAAACAACCTACCGGCCATTTGAATAAGATAAAACTGTTGCGTTATCGATTTTGACACAAAAAGCATTTCATTCTAAAATTATTGAAACATTTTTTTTCCATTTCATTATGTTATTTTAAATAAAATTTTAGAATTTTCAGTGTATTTACATTGATGCTGTTAAAATATAATTAGTGTTTTCACTGGATGTCTAGCAGATTTCGAATACATGGTTATGTTGGAAAGCAATACACACAAATAGTCTGTCACTATGCTTAACATATAACCCAGTGCACAGATTTTCATATTTCTTCAGTCAAAAATAACTGTATTTTCACTAGAAAACTTATAGTCAAGATTGTCCATCTGATCTGGTTTGTTTATTGATCACCATAGAGACATATGAACCTTCCTTAGTTGTGTCGCAGGAACCACTGAATGCTTGTCACCAATGGTAGGATAGTCCTGGTGGACTTTTAAAATATGTCTGCAGCAAAATCCATGTTTTAAAATCCTTATTCTAACCCTCTAACCCAAAACCTTAACTCCTTACCCTAGAAGTAATCTGAGTGATTTTGTAGAGAAACATTAATATTGAAGAAATAATATTGGGTTAATTTAAAATGTTAAAAATAATTCTAAAGTCTAGCCCAGTGGGTCAATCCTCAGTCCATCTTCAATTTGTCTCAACTGTTAGCTATATAAAATAGAGAAAAGAAGATTTTATATCTTATACTAAGTGATTTAAAATAAAGATTTGTAGAATTACGTTTTATAAACTCTTATTTCAGGGAATGATGCTGGACGCCCAGCACAGCTGTCACCAAATTATGACCCGGAAGAATTTGCTGAAGCTAGGATAGACATTAGAAAATTTGCTCAGTTTCTATCTGGTCAGCAGGTCAGCCCAAGTAGAGTTATATGTAGTAAGTGTCTTTGTGTGTGTATTTGAGGTTATTTATACTCGCCACTGGTTGCCCATATGGGCGAGTCCTCCAGAAGAGTATTTGTCATTTTACATTTAGAGGATAGTGCAATATACAGATACAGAAAGATGCCCCAATTCCAGAAGCTTCTCCTGGTTCTTAATCGTGCCAATTGTTAAAGCACTCACACACGGGACCTCGATTTAAAGTCTCATCCGAAAGACTGATTAGTAATTTTAGTTGGCCCACTCGGGAAACTAACCCACAATGTCAAGATTACAAGTCTCGCACTCTAACCGATTGAGCTATGCGGATTGGCTAGTAAGTGTCCAAAAATATCTTAGATTGATTTCATAGAAAGAGGATTTTGTTTTTTTGTTTAAGGATTTTATCTAATTGTTACTCCTCACTCATTTTGTAATGTTAGTTTTTTCATAGCCTAATGGGAGTTATTTTTACTGTTAATTCATGTGTACCATGTGACTAAAATTTTTGTACAAAGTGACAGTACTTTTTCACAGTAAAAATCTCTGAAAAATAAAAACCTATAGAAACAGTGTCCCGATAAAGTATTTATAGGTGGTAATGAAATAAATGACACATACGTTTGTAACAGTATATAAATAACACATAGGTTTGTCAGTAACAGTATAAATATAATCCTTAGGAAAATACATTAACCCAAGGGGTTAGCCGAGGGATTCATTATTTTTACTAGGGATGATATATTTCATGTGACTCACATGGCAGGAAACCGTACAGACCCTGTTTGTTTGGACCATGCTAGACTTACAGACTTTCCTCTGTGCTGGTCACATAGGCTTCCTGTTTACTATATCCTGCCCTTTAAAAGATTTTTTCTTATGTCTGGTAAACAAGAGTCTCCTGCTAAGAAATGATATTCACAGTTCATTTAGTCTTCATGTTGGTTGACAATGGTGGTATGGGTTACTGCCAGCAAACTAAAAGGTTTAATTAAGTTCAAAGGTTTAGATTGTATTTCTTCGTATTTCTTCTTTTTAGATATAGCGGATAACAGAGTGGTTCATTTTTACCTGATGAATGATGATGTTTCACTGCAATATTTTATGCCAGTTATGATGGTATGATGATGTAAAATAACAAGCCATGGACAGAAGGACTAGGAAATGACTAGGTTGCCACCTCTTTTTTCAAAACATTAGAACTTCAAGTTATTTTACATTAAAAAATTAACACATTGTAAAGATTCAGCTGAAATATCAGAATGAGTTTAAAGTGTTAGTATATGCGTGGACTTATATTATAATCTGTGGCATATGTCACATAACATAAAGTATCTTTATGTTTTTCTTGCTTCAAATTTACTGCAGTAGTGTTAAATATTAATCTTCTGACTAAGATATATTTTGCTGTTTTTAAAAAATAGGAAAACATTGTTTTAGATGGTCTTAGACTCAATGCATGTCAGCCTAATTTTCGAAGGCACATGTACATGGTTTTAAAAATTCTTTTGTGAGAGTTTATGCAAAATAGACTGTCAGAAATTTTCAAATTCAGGCCTTCCCATTGGACTAAAAAAGAAAAAAGAAAAAAGACTTAAATATTTTAGAGGGAAAATTGCATGGTCTAATTAGAGTGCAAAGCATATCAACAATATATCGATATCAGATGACAAATATCAAAGATACACCGATATGATACACCGATATATTGATAATTTGTCTATCATTCACTTTTATACCTGTTTCAATGACTTTAGTTAAATATATGAGCCGCGTCATGACAAAACCAACATAATGGGTTTGAGACCATCATGGATCCAGACCAGCCTGTGCCTCCACGCAGTCTGATCAGGATCCATGCTGTTTGCTATCAGTTTCCCTTCTTGTAATAGGGTTTGTAAGCGAACAGCATGGATCCTGATCATACTGCGCAGAGGCGCAGGCTGGTCTGAATCCATGCTGGTCGCAAACGCATTACGTTGGTTTTGTCATGATGCGGCTCATATGTTTGGTTCAGTGTCTTGTTTATAAAAGCACATTGCATGATTTTTTTCCAGACCACATGTTTTTGTGTTTTTTGTCATCATTGCTGTAAAACATTTCCACTATATAACAAACAGCATAATGTTACACATAGATAACTGCTTCTGTATATGTTTTGGGTGAATTTTCATAATTTCTTGACATTTAATTAATTAGTCAAAATTATCGATTTTTTGAAATGTGTATCAATTATTGATAGACAGAAAAATATCAATGATACATCAATATTATATTGTCTCCATGGGTCTAATAAATGTTACTGACTTGACCTTCTGATTCAATCTTTCTAAGAACGTTTTTTGATAATACAAAGGACATGTTACAATCAAGGTCATTTATATCTCTATACTTTTGAGAATTGTAGTGTAATTTAATTTAGTGTATATATTTTATACTATCAAGTGTTTAAATGTGCAAAAATGATTAGGATTGCCGGGGAACATCTATTGGATAATAAAATCTATTGGATAATAACATTTATTGGACAATAAAAGAACAAAAAATAGAATTTGTAATGTTAGTTCTTATACTGATAGCAAAAGTTACTCATTCAGTCTTGTTTGTAGCCTACGTATTTTAATTATCTGCAAACACTTTTATTCTGAGCTTTAGATTTTTCAAAATCTTTTCTTTATTATATACATATATGAAATATGAAGATAAAATGATCATTAAAAAATCTGCCAACATTCTCTCTGACCAAAGGTCAGATATATCCATTTATTTTTGTCCATACTGTTTAAAAACTTTCAAACTGCTATTCATTTCTGTCTCTTGTGTAACTGAACAGAACTTAATAAAATAATTATTCCAGCTATTATTTAAGACCCCACTTTACACTGAATAGATCACAGGTTCTGCATGTAGTGGATGTTAATATGTTCATTGTGACAGACAATTAAGCATTGTGACGGGCTCCAGAGGCGACAAGTAATTCATGAGATAAAAATCCTTGTTGGAAAAAATGTTGAAAATATCAGATTACAGAAAGTTCTTGTAAAATTTTTTTAAAGAATTTTTTATTTAAAATTTTATACGTATACAATTATTGAAATAAAAAGTTAAGTTATAAAAAATTTTATAATGATAAAATTGTCTTGTTATTTATTGTATTTCTTTACGTTTTACTTTCTTGAAAAGTAGTCTAGTACTGGTGTAACTCTCCAGGAACAATGGATGGGAAACTACCCGCCTATATGACTGAAATACTGTTGGAAAAAGGCGTAAAATGAAACAAACAAACAAACTTTCTTGAATGACAGTTTGTAAGGATCATTTATAAAAGTTGATGGGCTGTATTTTTACATACTAGTGAATTGTAGTCATGACCTACACACTCGTGATCATTGACAGGCAATGGCAATAAAAATGGGCGAGGTTTTATACATTTCGGCCCCACACTGGCGAAAGAAATGTTTTTGTGCCTTTACTTTAGAGGGGCATTTAGATTTACCCTTGTCTGTCCGTTCTCATAATGTGTCGCATGTAGCTGAAAAGTATTTGACCTAGTCATGAAACTTTACAGGAATGTTGATCAGCATGTGTAGTTGTGCACCTAGGTATTTTTGTGTGGATTTATTTAGTATTTTAAGAGTTATTGCCCTTGACTTAGTAAAATTTTGCAATTTTCAACTTGTGTTGCACATAACTCAAAAGTGTTTGACCTAGTGTCATGAAACTTTACAGGAATGTTGATCAGCATGTGAAGTTGTGCCCCTGGGGTTTCGCTTGTGGATTTATTCTGTTTTATTAGAGTTATTGCCCTTGACTAAGTAAAAATTTGCAAAAGTATTTCACCTAGAGTCATGAGACTGAATAGGAATGTTGGTCATCATGTGTAGTTATGCACCTTGGGTTTCGCTTGTGAATTTATCCAGTATTTGTAGAGTTATTGCCCTTGACCTTGTAAAAACAGTTTCATTATGTTGTGTTATTTGTTCCTTCAATTGGAAGCAACCAACTTTACAGGAATAATGATCAACATCACTGTGAAGCTATGCACCTGGTATTTTGTATGTGGAATTTTTTTTAGCTCACTAGAACCAAAGGTTCAGGGTGAGCTATTGGTATCAAAGGGGGATGCTCCGGCGTCTGTCGTCATGCGTCAACAATCGTTTTCTTCTCAGTAATGTCTTGGCAGATTTACTTAAATTAGCATTCTTTGGTAGTTTTTTTTATCAAGTTTGCTGTTATTAATTTGATTGGCCCCTTTTAGGGGCTGCTGAAGCTAAAAATAGAAATACCTTTAAACGTCTATTTCTACAGAACTAAGTGATGGATGATCACCAAACTTTGTCTGTAGCATTCTAAGGAAGTCTAGTATCAAGTTTACTCTTATTAATTTGATTGGCCTCTTCTAGGGGCCACTAAAGCCAAAAATAGAAAAACCTTTGAACATCATTTCCTACTGAAATAATTGATAGATGATCACCAAACTTTGTAGCATTCTTAGGTGGTCTTTTATCAAGTTTACTCATATTAATTTGATTGGCCCTGTTTAAGCTAAAGCTTAATGCCCCAGGTCATGACATTTCTTCAAATTATTGTTTAAACATACTCTTCTCTCAAATTTAATATTAAAAAATATTGTCAATGGATAATTTCCAACACTGAAAAGCAGTTGTTTCTGGTGAGCGACTCAGTGCCATCATGGCCCTCTTGTTCAATTTTGTTAAAGTTATTGCCCTTGACTTGGTATAAATTTGCTATTTCCAACTTTGACCTATAGGCCTGAAAGTTTACTATAATTTTAGGCAGCATGTGTACTTATGCACCTTGGGGTTCACTTGTGGATTTATTCAGTTTTTGTATAATTTTAGCCCTTTACTTAGTTAAAGATTTTTAGCTTTCAACTTGTGGCACATATAGCCCAACAATATTTGACCTAGGGTCATAAGATTGACAAAATGGAGTGTGGGGGCACCCTTGTCCTATGGACACATTTCTAGTTTAGCTCATCTATCGCAAAGTGACAAGGTGAGCTTTTATGATTACTTCTCGTCTGGCGGTCGTCCATTTGTCTGTAAACTTTTAATTTAAAGGACATCTTCTAATAAACCGCTATGCTAATTTCATTTAAACTTCACAGCAATGTTCCTTTTGGTTGTCCCCTTTAAAATTTTTGCTCAAAGAATTTAATTCCATGTAGAACTCTGGTTGCCATGGCAACAAAAAGAAAAAAATCTTAAAAAAAACCCAAAGAGCTAGAGCATAGATGTTTGGCATGAAACATCTTCTAGTGAGTGTCTACCAAGTTTGTTCAAATAAAGCCCTGGGGTCAAAATTGTCCCCACCCTGGGGTCATTGATTTTCCTTAAATGTATATAGTAAAAACTTATTTAAAAATATTCCCAAAGAGCTTAGCATGAAACATATTGTAGTGAGTGTCTTCCAAGTTTGTTCAAATAAAAGCCCTGGGGTCAAAATTGGCACCGCCCCAGAGAGTCATTGATTTTCCTAATATGTACACATCTTTTGGAACTATTGTTTTCCCTTAGCAATGACAACCAGTTATGTTTTTACACATGCACTATTTCAGATACAAATATGAACTTTGTTATATCAGTTTAAGATTTAGATTTTATATCTGCTTTTGTTTATAGTTGACAATATTACTTGTCCCTTTTATATTCAGGTGAGCGATTTCAGGGCCATCATGGCCCTCTTTTTAGCTCACCTGTCACAAAGTGACAGGGTGAGCTTATGTGATCGCTTTTCGTTCGGCGTCTGTCCGTCCGTTGTCCGTCCGTCCATAAACTTTTGCTTTAAATGACATCTCCTCATAAACCACTGAGCCAATTTCATCCAAACTTCACAGGAATGTTCCTTTGGTGGTCACCTTTAAAAATTGTTCAAAGAATTTAATTCCATGCAGAACTCTGGTTGCCATGGCAACCGAAAGAAAAATCTTTAAATATCTTCTTTTAAACAACCCTAAGAGCTAGAGCTTAGATATTTGGCATGAAACATCTTCTAGTGAGTTTCTACCAAGTTTGTTCAAATAAAAGCCCTGGGGTCAAAATTGGCCCCACCCCAGGGGGTCATTGATTTTCCCTATATGCATATAGTAAAAACTTAAAAAATCTTCTTTTAAAGAACCCAAAGAGCTAGAGCTAAGATATTTGGCATGAAACATCTTCTAGTGAGTGTCTACCAAGTTTGTTCAAATAAAAGCCCTGGGGTCAAAATTGGCCCCGCCCCGGGGGGTCATTGATTTTCCCTATATGCATATACTGATATAGTAAAAACTTAAAAAATCTTCTTTTAAAGAACCGAAAGAGCTAGAGCTTAGATATTTGGCATGAAACATCTTCTAGTGAATGTCTACCAAGTTTGTTCAAATAAAAGCCCTGGGGTCAAAATTGACCCCGCCCCAGGGGGTCATTGATTTTCCCTATATGCATATAGTAAAAAATTTAAAAAATCTTCTTTTAAAAAACCCAAAGAGCTAGAGCTAAGATATTAAGCATGAAACATCTTCTAGTGAGTGTCTACCAAGTTTGTTCAAATTAAAGCCCCGGGGGTCAAAATTGGCCCCGCCCCGAGGGGTCATTGATTTTCCCTATATGCATATAGAAAAAAACTTAAAAAATCTTCTTTTAAAGAACCCAAAGAGCTAGAGCTAAGATATTTAGCATGAAACATCTGCTAATGAGTGTCTACCAAGTTTGTTCAAATAAAAGCCCTGGGGTCAAAATTGGCCCCGCCCC